AAATGGTAAAATATATGTATGGGAAAAGGCCATAAAGTCAAACAAACTGTAAAAAAAATATTTACATACATGGCAAATGCTATTTTGCTTCACTCAAAAGAGCGCTCTTGCAAATCAATAAGAAAAAGACCCACAGCATAGAAAACCAGAAGGATGGCACACAGACAGCTTTTAAAATATGAACCTGTTCACCGTCACTCGTAAGAGAAATTTAAAAGTGTTTTCATCCGTCGGGTAAGCAAAAACTAAGCTTGAACGCAGTATTGCTGAAAGCGTGGTAGGCAGGCACTCGGGTATGTCAGCAGTGTAAATTGAGCTCAAGAGGTTTATTAACTCGTCAATAGGTAACTAAAAAGTATCTTTTAATCCAACAAATCCACTTCTAAGGGTTTATCCCACAGACAGTCACATCAAGGCACACACAAAAGATGTTTACTCCAGCGGTGACTGGCTACAAAGCGTTCCCCAGCCTGGCGGTGGGGCGGGAGACCCGACGGGGCATCCGTATCTCGGGACCTCACGCAGTCAACAGAAAGAGGGAGCGGGATGGGTGGATACGGAGCAACCTCCATTCTAAAACTGAGGGGCACGCCAGCGTGTACGACACAGTGACGCTTGGGTGTGCAATGAGTCGCCTCTGGGAGGAGATCTGAGAGGTTTTAGCATCAGTGGTTTTGACTCTCGGAGAGAAAACAGCAGAGAGGCAGGAGGAAGACTCACTGTTCAAGTAACATCCTTTTATATTGCAACTTTTTTTTTTTCTTTTACCATGTACACATGTTAATCTTTTCAATTAAAAAATTTAGTGGGGAAAAATAACAGCCATGTTTGCAACAGGACCTTTTTTTTTTTTTTTTTTTTTTTGAGACAGTATCGCTCTGTCACCCAGGCCAGAGTGCAGTGGCGTCATCACAGCTCACTGCAACCTCCAACTCCTGGGCTCAAGAGATCCTCCTGCCTCAGCCTCCCAAGTAGCTGGGACTACAGGTGCGCACCACCACTCCTGGCTAACTGTTCTATTTCGTGTAGAGACGGGGTCTCACTCTTGCTCGGGCTGGTCTGGAACTCCTGAGCTCAAGCAATCCTCCTGCCTCAGCCTCCCAGAGTGCTAGGATTACAGGTGTGAGCCACCAGGCCCAGCCCATATATATACATTTTTTTAAATCTCTTCCTTCTACCACTTTCTGGGGCCCTGATAAGTCTTCACTTGCAGAAGACCTCCAATCCTTAGAACCTGAATCCAAGTTTCTCAGACCAGCTAAAGCACTGTCGGGTCTGCCGACAGCCTACACAGATCTGTGTGCCGAGAGGCAGAATCCCACACCGGGAGAAGGGCACAGACAGGGCTGCATCCCCCAGGTTCCCAAGCACCTGGGCAGGCACCCTCACTTCTCTGTGCAAGTGTCCGTCTTGGCCAGCAGACCCCCACTTGTGACCCGCACTCTTGCTGGAACAAGCTCAAGGTGGAAACCGTGCAGGACACAAAACCGTAACCTTCCTGGCAGCCGAAGGCAGAGGCAACAGTGAGTCGTATTCAAGGCTCAGACGCTGACAGACCTTTTATTAGTGAGGTATTTAATTGCATTTTTATCAAAAAAAAATTCCAAAACAGTGTGACGATGGGGACCTAATTCTTTGGAATTACGGTAGGGATATGTTCCCAACAAGCCATTAAAAGCTGGCTTTTTATAAGAGCATCAGTCATGACTAAGTCCCTGTTTGCGGCAAGCTCCGCGCCTCCGTGCGCTGTTCGAGCGCACTTTTCTTCGGAAGGCAATCTACGAGGCCTTCTGCCTCGGTCGGGGATATTGCTAAGTGGAAGGTTTGATGAGCTTCCCTGCAGAATCCAAGCAGCTAAATTTACTATGGCTTATAATCAAGGTAAACTATATAATGAAAGGCCGCATTTTTTTCCCATCAGATTTGCAAAAGGTCAGAGTTTATAGCAAAAGACTAGAGGAAGAGGTATATGTCTGAGAAAAGAGCCCGCAGCTCCTTCCAGCAGGGGGTTCTCGCCGTGTGCACTGATGCCTCACGGCGCGTGGCTTTCCGGACCTGTGTCAGAGGGGAGCCGGCAGCTCTGCTCAGAGGCCCAACCCACCTCCATAATTGTCAGCACTTCAGGATCACTGCAGTTTGTTTACAGTGAGTCTACACTGTTGAATTACCCATCATCCCCTTGGGGAGCAGCCCTGGGAAAATGGCGATACTGAGGGCTGTGACTCGGGCCCAGGTCTGGAGGCCAGGCCAGCGCTGGGATGTGACTCACCACCAACGTACAGGACGGGTCATATGTGTGTATCGACCAGGCTCCCAGACTTAGCACCACAACCGCGCTTCTCCCGACTGTCCCGTTAGCTCACAACACAGATTCACTTAAAAGCAGCTACGAAAGCGAGACGTGGAACCTTCGTTACAAACACCTCCTGAGGACCGCGCCACCATGAGACCACTTACCCCATCAATACACTGTTCGTGCTTAAAAACAAATACAGAAATTCCATGCCGCTGGAAGCTGCACACGAAAGGAATCGAGACTTTCACCCAAACGTGTCTGTCATTTACCAGTCAAAACCAACCACCGAGGCGCTTTTCTAACTGGGGTGGCGGAAGCAGAGGCCAAGTGACACCAGAGGATGGAGCCCCCTCCTCCATGGAGAGCATTCACGCTCCCAACAAACACTAATGCCAGCAGCGCTCGCAAATGTCTCAGCGTCCGCGGATTTCACGGATACAAAAGGAGCCAAGTGGGGGACGAAGTCGCTCATTTGCCACTCAAGGTTTCTGGGAGATGCGCCCACCCATCAATCCGCGGCCTCAGAGGCCTTTTCCTGGCACTGGCTCTGTGCTGATCAAGCACATCCAGGACCACCGGGCTAAGGCCTGTGCGGCTCTCTGGTAAAGTTAAACCAACGCGGGAGGGGAGGGGGCAACAGAGGCGCCTCCTATCCAGCCGGATCCCTGCCCGGCCCCTGCTCACTGGTCCTCCGGGACCTCCCGGAGCCCTTCGCTGTGGCGAGTCCGCCCGCTGATCTCCAGCAGGGCTTGGGCCTCGGGGTCCACGTCCAGGATGCTCTTGCTGCTCTTGGCCTGGGGAAGCGGGAAAAGGGGGTGTGTCAATGACAAGCAGGGAGAGATGAGGGGCTCCCCAATAACCAAGAACAAGCACCGACCTCCCGCTAGTTTCCCAGCTGCCTGGAAGGAATCACATTCTACCGTTGGCACCCGGATAACGGGCACGGTTCCCTGAGGCCCCCACTCTGCGATTCAACCGTCGGGAGGGTACAAGATGTCACGAGAGGTACAAAGGGCCCAACGACTCAAGACTCCATCACAGAGCCGGGGAACCAGGAGGAAGCCCAGAGCCCCTCGTCTTGCAGACGGACAGAACCGCCGGGTTCACACCTTGGCAGGTCCCCCCTCCCCAGGCTGCTCTACTAAACCATCCACGAACCCCAGGCAAGACTTCCAGCTGTGCAGCTCCCAGCATCCCCCGTGGCCAACAACAGCTGCCAGAAACAAATTTGGAATAAACAATCCCCCTGTGGAAGAGTAAAGCCGAGAAAACAGAGAAACCTCCCCCACCCCATGCCTCGGACAGAGGACGCCTCCACTCACCAGCTCCGACGCCGAGGGGTCTCCGACCGCCCACACCTCCATCTTGTCAAACCGGAAGTGCTCTTTGGCAGACAGCTGCGGGCTGCTGTACGTGGTGCACGTGGGCTTGGCTTTGCTGTGTCCTTTCCCGAAATCGACATCCACCCAAAGCCCAAAGTAACCGTGCTGCCCCCCCATGCCCTGCAGAGGGAGTCACATAGAGAACCACGTCAGCTCCCGGCCCCAAAACACCAAATACCGTCAGCCCGAGCCTCCTGTGAGTACCTGCCGGGACGGGGCGGATGAGTGGGGACCGTGACCTTGGACCTTGTTTTCCGCAACTGAGATATGCGTGCTGCTGCGGTTCAAGCATCGCTTCCCAAGTCGCTAGAGCAGTGACGCCAGACACCCACCCACTGCTTTCTCACGAGGCTGTGCTGGCTGGAAGCACATGTGGCAGCAGGAAATACAAAAAATAGATACGGGCCCCCAGAGCCCAGCCCGTTAAGGGGAGAAACTGACATCGGCAGCCCACGTGTCAGGGCCCTAACTGCCCCACCCGCTTCCGGGCAGGGATCCTCGTCCGCACATAGGCCAGGAACTGGGCTCCGAGCACCTAAGTGACTTACTCGAGGGCCACGCAGGAGCCACGGACACCCCAGCTGGAGCCCCGTTACCTGCCGACCACACCCCACAGTCCAGTGACCCCAGCCTGGGGGCCACCCCCACCCCAGCAGCCCCAGGCGTGAGGAGGACGGGTCTGGCCCTGATGCCACCTCAAGGCCACTCACCCATCATCTGAGAGCCAAGAAAATGGGCCAAATGTGCCATTTGCACACAAACCACGGAACAGCCCCAGCAGAGGCCCCGTCCTTCCCTAAGGGAAATCCTGTCCTAGTTGCCCCTGGGACAGCCCTGGGACCGGGGGCAGAATGAACTGGGTATGGTACGAGTGACAAGCTGAATGCCATGCAGCTCTCCCCTGACTTGTGGAGAGAACACGTCACTCTGAGCATTAGGATCAGCCCCTGCATGGGGGCGACGTCACAAAGGCGGGACAGGTTCGTCCCCAGCTCCTACCAGTCCGTTCGGGATCGTCTGCTGTCCGTGGTTCAGGTACATGTAGTGGTCGTTGTAGCCCGTGTGCGTGTACACGGCCATGCGGGGGGCGACGGAGAACAGGAAGCATTTGTCGTCCCCTGAAAGTGAGCAGAGAGCAGAACAAACAGGGTCACCGTGTCTGAGCTGGGCCCAAGGAGCAGGAATCGCTAACGAGCTTCGGCTCAGAAAGCAAAGCAGCCGGGACCCCCCTTGCCTGCCCCCAGGTGCCCTGACTGGCCACACACCTGGACGTCAGAGTCTCAGGGACCAGGGCAGCTGCCTGGGCACCCGGGTGGATGAGCCAAGGGTACGGGGATTAGAAGGACAGCCAACAGGGGATGGGACCGCTGTTCTGGGGACGTCCTTTAGCTGTGGCCAGGGAGCAGAGGTCAGAACGCTGCCCGCTGTTAGCCAGAGGCGGCTCAGGCTGGCCAAGCACATGACGCCAGAGAGAGCAGGTTCCCGTAGCTTATGAGCAAGGGGCAGGTGGCCACTCTGCAAACGCTGACGGCCCCCGCACAGCCTGCTCACGCAGGCAGGTGACGCTGGTGTGGGGCTGTCCCCAACCTGGGAGTACGCGCCATCCGTAAGAGAGACAACCTGCAGACGCAGGGCTGCACGACTGTGGGAAGGGGACAGTGACCGTCTGCCCATGGCACAGGGGTGGGTACACGTGCCAGTAAAAGAAAGGTACCAGTCAGAACTATGAGAACGACGGCGTCCTGGCCTCAGACCCCTTCAGTCCCCAAGCCAGGGGAGCTGCCCACGGCATTCCGAGGACCCGCTGCCCGCCCGACACGGACACCGTGAGGCACGCATGACGTCGGAACAAGCCAACAGCCCCACAGAGGGCTGAGCACGGGGCAGGGGGGCCGGGCTGTCTGTTAGGCACAAAGGAAGCCCCGAGAGGCAGCCTGGGGGCCCGAGTACAGAGGGCAGAGGTGAAGGGGCAGAGAGACCCAGAGGGGCCTCGGGGAGGAGGGCTGACGGCAGAGCGTCGCAGTCCAGACAGACCCTCGGGGCTCTGCAGTCAGGGCCGGGCTTCTAGAGGTCTCCAAGGTCGGGAGGGACGTCCTGAAACAGAGGCGGCTGGGGAGAGCCACTCCGCGGAGGAAAGATCCCACCCAAGGACGAGGCGTGGGCACGCAGGAAGCAGCAGGGCTCGTGCGCGGCGGGGTGGGAGGAGGAGGGTAGCAAGGTGAGGACCGCACAGTGGAAGGGCGTGGCTCGGGGCTGGAGGCTCAGGCAGCTCCGCCCGACTCCGGCAGCCCCAGAGGGTTTCGGGCAGTTTCAGACACGATGAACCTGCCGCACCCCCCAGCCCCCCTTCCTGGGCACTGGACTCGGATAAGCGCCACTCTGCTTTGCAATCCTAAGGCTGTCGTCTGACCCCCATTCGCTGGCCCAGCGAAGTGAGGTGTCAGGGCCACAGAGTGTGGGCCCCCCGGCTGCAACGAGCCCACCCTCCGGCCCGTGCTGAGGGCTGCTCTGGGCGCGGAAGGCCACTCGGGTGAAATATCTCTCTCTAGGACGCAGGGCAAGGACCCAGCGAGTCACTATCATCTGCAAGAAAAAGCCAAGCCAACAGCAAGGGCTCCTTATCTAATTCTCACATTAACAACACTCTACCGTGAGGCAAACACCACTGGCACCCACTGTTAGCAAGCTCCGTGCCCACGGGGTGCAGTTTCCTGTCATTCTGGGGAACTGAGGCCCAGAGAATTGGGCACCCTGCCCAGGGCCAGAGCTGGGACTCAAGATCCTGTCTGTTCAATCCACTGCCTGGGGCCTTTCAACAGCAACCAACAAAACACAAGCAACAATGAAGTGACCCTACGGTTATTAAGTCACGTGACGACTCAGGTATCAGCGGTTACCATTTCCAGGACAAATGGACAGAACACTCTGAACTTGCCCCAAAGCCCACGGATTCGCGCCGCCTGTGGCGCAAGGCTGTCCTCCACCGCAATTTCATCCGCATATTTCAGAACAGAACGAATTCAAATTGGAAAACTTGGAGTCACTGTATTTTCCACATTCCTCAGGAAGATTAAGTCTGTTTGTTAATAAAACATTAAGACCCAGCAGAGTCGATCTGAAGTTAATATTAAAGGATCTGGAGATAGCAGCAGCTTTGTCTGTAATAAGGTTTTTTCATATCCTAAAGCGCAGCCTCCGACTGCATGGTGAGGCGGAATAACCCGCAATTTCCCCAAAGCCCGGAGGTCAGACCAGCGGGGAAGATGCCCCATCCCGGTGACACTGCGGCAGAGAAAGGTGGGTGTGCAGAAAAGAGGAGACGTAGCAACTGCTGTTTCTAGAAAGGCCCTTGCAAAGGCCCTGGGCTGGCATCTGGGAACTTTGATTTGGGGAGGGGTCTTGCCTATTCCCAGAACTAGAATAAAGCTCTGGAACATTATAAAACCTAGAAATAAATAGAATCCTAGAAGCAGCATCTAGGAGACAGAGGCACCCAGCCCTTCACCCAGTGATTCCATCTACCCGCCCCAGCCAAATGGCCGCCGGCCTCTGCCAAAAGCATCCAGTAACGGCCACTCTACCTGGACACAGCTCCCGGCCTCTGGAAGTTCTGCCTGGTGGAGGAAAGATGC